TCGATACGTGCACCCGTGAAGATTGTGGAGGAGTTTTATAGCCTTTCTTAGAAGTTTTACCCGACTACTCTGTGTCACTGCAACGAATAAGTACTGTCGTTTTTACAATGAGGAGGACAAGAGCTTGCAGCAATGCTTTCACGCCAGTATTATAGAAAACAAGACTATGAATAATTCAAACAAAGTTGGTTCTTGATGCCGCTGCAAAAATTGTCAAAAGGCAGTCAAAAAGCAGTCAAAAAGCCTTTTTGAAAAAACATGGAATGTCAACAAATTATAAAGCAGCCGAAGTTTTCTTCAATATAAAAATCGATAGGCACACACTCTTTTGTTTAACTCATTACAATCAATAAGGTTTAGCTATGATGGCACACGTATAAAAATGTCGGAAGCTATAGAAAAGGTGGAAAGAGAGAGTCACCCTTTCCCCCTTCTTTTTTGACCCAAAGTGGTTTTGACGTATGTTATTGCATTGCGAATTCGGATTTAAATAATTGAACCGCAGGGTGATTATTCAAAATAAGCGAGGACACGCATATTTCCGCGCATAAATAAATATCTAAGTTAGGGACATTCGAGAACACCTGAAGGCGGATACGTCATAAAGCAAGCATATGCAAATAAATGAAAATTCGGTTAAGAATTGACATACTGTTGAATTTTGAATACTTGTAAGCCGCTTCATAGAGCTGTCCTTATTGTCATTAAGAGAAGAGATGCTGTATTTCTTCGGATGTTAGGCGAGTGAGCAATTATTCGACTCCATCGAAGTATTGAAGGAAATCTGCGCTAAGCTGTACTGGGTTAGTGACCACCATATAGTATCTATGGTTTTCTAACAATGTTCGAACTTATGAGTAATTCAAAAGGGTTGTGGTCCTTTGAATAGCATCAGTGCTGATGTTCTCATAATTATGTAGCTTGTCGTCGTCTTACTTTAAGAGCATGATGTAGCATTTCATATGACTTGGTTTAGTTTACAAGAAGCGTTTGCCAACAGTCATACGTTAATTTAATCTCAAGATACACAAATTCTCTAATTCCAAACTCCAAATAGCAGTCCAAGTTAATGAAACATTCCCAAGAAATCTCTAATCCAATCCAGTGTGGCTTCTGTGAGAGTCGTTCTGAGCATAGCATGCCACCTTTAAAAATATAGAGTAGAGGTTTTGTTTACAAGTATTCCGTTACGACAGTGCGGACTACTAACAAGCGGTGGAATAAAAGGACTTCAAAAAAGATGGAAATGTCGAAGCGTCAGGCAATAAAGATTCCACCTAAAACCGGGTTTCGGCAAAACACTTGTAAACAACTGACACACTAACATGCTCCGGTTCAAGGATGAAAGAACATGGAGACGAATATAGAGTAGAGTATTTCCCATTTTCCATTCGTTATGTTATATGTGGAGGCCCCGATTTAAAGCTTTATGGGACAAGTCCTGGTTTTTTCTCTTGGCAACACCTTCTGGTCATGTTTAAGACTTTTACATTCGATCAAAAAGGAACACTACCGTGCCAAATTGAAAATCGAACTTGAACTTCACACTTTGAAGGCCTCTTAATCGGATAGAACTCTTGTTTAAAGTAGTACCCACCTGCTTGACCCAATTGTACTTTTTTTAAATAATGTAAGTGCGTATTATACAAAACTATACTGAATGTGCACTTCTCATAAACCCTTAAAATGCCTTACAATACAGTATTGGTCAGTGCAAATCATTTCTATATTCGTGCGCTGTGATTCGAATGTCAACATTTATAAACGGGTATGGTTAAGTTCTCTCTAATTTTCAACAGAAAGTTACTAGAAAATATAGTTTAGCTTAATTTAACCACGAAATAAGTACAATATTTTAGCGAAGAAGTTTATATGTTAGAACACGATGCTATGAAAGTTGTACCATCTGCGAGCATCATCATTTTAATAAGTAACATATCTAGCTTTATAGTACCTTACTCTACATTGTACTTCAAAAAACGTAACGTTTTTCGAAAGAAACATAATTCAGAAACCTCCTCTATGGTTTAAATAGCCCTTTTTTCTCAGAAAAAAAAACGTTTTTTAACCAATATAATAGATTTTTGTTTTGATTATAGCTTCTTCTCTTATGTTTCGTGTTCTCTATTTCATTGATGGCATTCAACAAAGCTTTTGTTCTGTCCTGCCCAAACTCATTTTTGGGATATAGGACGAGGTATAGAGGAAAGAAGTTCGAAAACGGGATTTGATACAAGCTTCGAAGTGCGCTCTAATTTAACCTCCTTCTTGCAGAATGTCTTGAAACGTTTGGGTACGTGACTTCTGCTGCTTGAAAACTTTTATTGCTTTGCAACTACACTCCATACCACGTCACTTTACATTTAGCAATGTTTTTTGCCCCTTTTTTATTCAAACTTCCAAGGAGTACTGACATAATGGAAAATTTCGTAAAACTACTCTTCATATGAAACATGTTGGCAGATTCCAAAAATCATGTTTCAAAAAGAACTGCCAAAAAACGAGCAAATTGGTCTCCAACGGAAATTTAATCTGGCTGGTTGTGCGGGTTAGAGTGGCGACGCGAACAAGAGTCTTTTGAAATAATTTCTGCCAATACTGTTTTGAAGCTTAGTTATATTGGAATGTACTGTGATAGGTACATCACTAATGTGAGAGTGTATGTACATTTCCATAACCCCAGCTCAAAAATCTCCGGCAGGTTAGCTCCTTAACAAGATTTTGTCTATCACTTTAGTCATGAAGAACTTATGCTAGGCTTATATCTCAGAAGCTCAAATTGATAGGTTATCTTACATAGCTTTTTTTCTTACATACATTGCATAAATGTTTTTTTCATGTTTTTATTTAAAAAATAATAGCTCCAATATCTCCTACAATCTCTAGATTACGCTCATTTTCTTACTCGAAATCGTCGCATGTGCACAGCAGAGCTCCACCTATGAAGATGAGTTTGCTCGCTGACAGATTTATCCGTTATGTGCTGCAGTCTACTCGGAAAAACCACTGGATTACGCCAAAACCATTGACGAAAAAGCGGAGAAGGTACCACTTAGATACCGTTTCTAATTTAGGAAAAGACTTGAATGTTGGTTCATTAAATTACCGTTTAGGTTCAACAAGTGACTGTGATATGTGACGAGGCGGGGAACACCTGTTCTGGCTATACTGGTATACTTCCCACAAAAGCGGCGATTATAATAGGCTTTAGGTAGGTGCTGCTCTTGCCACATTCAGCTTCCATTCGGGCACCTGACGCGATGATTATATTCTGAAATAACTCGAAGAATCAAAACTCTCCATTGCAGAGGCTCCAAAAATATAGGGCAAGTCAGTAAGATCGCTTCAATGACCTTACAATAAAGAGGGTACGTTTCCCTCTGATATGTTTTGATGAAAAAGCGTTTTGTAAAGATGTCCACGAAAACCTTGTCAAAAGTTCTGAGCAGATGGAGAGTTGCTGATACGGGGCAGGTAGCAACGTACTTCTACAACGCTTTCTATAAAATTTGGAATAGCGGAATGGGTGGCAATGTGTCAGATCTCGTAAAAAAACACTTAAAATACGATATTTGGGTGCGCTTATTTGCCACGTGGATTTCTTATTTTGAAATCTAGGAAGCAGAATTCGCTTTTAAGATCACTGGACACTCACTAGGAGGTGCGCTGGCAACGTTAGCAGCTTCCTACGTTGTTGAAACAAAGTTAGCGGTCGGTGATAGAATTAAGCTGATGACATTTGGTCAACCAAAGCCCGGTGATGATAATTTCGCAAACCTCCTCAACAAGAAGGTGAGAAAGTGGTGATAAAAGGGATTGATTTCAATATAGATTTTTAAGATCAAATATT